TCTCCTTGTGGCTCGAGGAGCTCCAGTTGCCGGCCATGATGGATGGCGGCGGTGGTGGCAGAGAGTAGTGGTGGCGGAGCTTCCCATCAGCACTGCACTAACCCTGGATCGGTAGGGGATTAGGTGGGGCGTACGGCTGTGCGACGAACCTCGTGATGCGAGCCGCCGGCCCCCATCTCTTTATATAGTGCAGGTGACAGGGGCCCGTCACCCATAATGGGTTGAGCGTCCTCGATGAGGGCGCGGATCTAAGGGCGCGGTGGGCCGTTGGGCCCACACGGTGGAGATCATCCTAACATTCTCCCCCATGATCTCAACTTTTACTTTTGACCGTATACTTTTACTTTACTCGTTTCATAACAGATCAATACATAAAACATGTTTCATCGTCACAGCTCAATTGCCGATAGAATCAGGCAGCCACAACGTACCTCCCTGTTTTGAAACAAATTCTTTAATCTTGGGCCCTTACATTGCCGGAAATTTTAGACTATACCATAAAACCCATGTCGATTGTGTGTTCTCCGAACACACTGGGCGGTAAGCCTTTAATAAGCAGATCTACAAACACTTATCTGTTGCTTTTATGCTTCAAGCATTCCTACATAATTCCGGACTTTCTCCTTTACAACGCATAACTCTGTGTCAGTGTGTTTGGCATCAACACTTGACTCGTTGTCATAGAAGTGAAAGACTTAAAATAGTTATCGCAATATTTCGAGAGCACTTATTTCTTTCAGCATAAGGCTGATATCTTTGAATCCATTCCAGTGATCTATATATGGACTGGACATTGCCAAAACAACCCGGATATGTGAACTGTGTCAAGGCAATATATTGATCTTCCAACAGCTGAAGCATATGGTACCATATCCGTTTTCAATCTTTTCTCATCAACTTTTGGAACACCATAGTTTCCAGTTCCATTACCCTTGACTATAAGAACAGGCGTAGGTTTTCTCGCATGCATACTTTAGAGACCTTTCTTAGCATGTCCATTCGACATCCCTAATAGCCCCTTTTATTCTTTTCTTTGTGAATCTCGATACTTATAACAAGAGACACTCTACCGAGAACATTCTTTTGAACTTTGAGGACAAGAACTTCTTTTCTCCTCCTGCAGTAGGTTGACATCACCACTAGCAAGTAGGATGTCATCCACATGCACAGGATTAGGAAATGAATTTTCCATTCTATAACTTTGCACGAATACAATTGTCCTATCATTTTCATTAACCCAAAACAATATTTGATTGCTTTAGTCCATAAAAGACTTCTTCAAGTAGTATCCCCTATGTTCTTTACTTTCATCTGATATAACTCAGATCATGATGTGCTACCAACACTCATTGTAATCTATTCAGTGCAAAACGCGCAAAAACCTTTCGATTTAAGTCATGTTTTACACCTTTACATATTTCCTTTGGAGTCACATTGACCTTGTAGACCCTTTACAGCCTACTGTTTATGCTCCATTGGAAATTACTTATGAGTCCCAAACATCATTGGGATTCAGCAATCTTATTTCATCTCATATATTCTCTTGTCATTTAGACAAACAGACACTTCTCAAAGCTCGATTGAGCGCTTTAAATGAGGTGGGATCAACCTCCATTTGAATTTCACTAACATAGACTTTATAGTAATCAGAAGTATCTGATTTTCTCATTCCTTGAGACCATCTGTATCTCAGGTACTGGCACTTCTTTCATATGGGGCTGTTGTTGCTCTGTCATTGCCAAGAGGCAAATTAATTGTATAGTCTTTCATTTCCAAGAGACAATAGATTTTACAGGGACTTGTATCACAAGATCCATGTTTACTCATTCATCCTTTATAGAGCTAACAACAGGTGTTGTATAGGTCATACAATATGCTCCCCCAGATCACTCCATCTTCACTAAAAATGGCGTATCTTTAAATTTTATCATTTGGGTTTATTCTGTTAAAACTTCTTTCTGGCACTTTAAACACCGTCTTAGTATTCCTTACTCTGCTTTTGGAACTGTAAAAGATCCAGAAATGCAACTATTTATTTTCTTTAGGGGTATTAATATGACCGTCATACTCCCCCAGACGATCACATTCTTCATCACATTATCTAAAGTATAGGGGAGTTTCATCATTCTTAATTTATCTCATATATCTCTCCCCATCGAAATGTGGCAAGAACTTTTCTGCCACAATTTCGAAAACCATTGATAACTCTTGTGAATTGAGGAAATTTTGATTATCTACTTCATTCATCAGATTACTTCATACGAAATGAAGTTATCTCTTCATACAAAATGAAGTTATCTTTTAACTAGTATGGGAGTACTTTTTCCTCATTCCATTTCAGAAACTCAACAGAGTTCTTTATTATTAGTACTTTTGCAAGTCACACTTGCATATCATTCTTATCTTTAGTTCCGTCTGTAACTTTTATTCTCTTCGGATTTATTGAGTGCTTAATGACCGTTACACATAAGATGTACGGTTGATACTAGGAAAGCATAATAGCTACTCCATACTTTTCTCGCAGAGTGGGACACATTAAAAGCACATGAGCCATCATGTCTTGCTCCTGTCATACGGGATAAGTCTGAGAAAATTTCTGCCACCATACAGGTTACGCAGGGATTTTCCCAGACTTATCCTACCATGCGGGTTTTATCATAATCAACTTTTCCCGCCATGCGGGTAATTCCCTGCAAGGGACATAAATGCCAGAATTGGCTCTTTTGACTACATATTCAATCATCAAATTTATAAATAAATCTGAATCCTCTTTGACACACATGCTTGATCTGATGTTGGTCAAATTAAACACGCATGTTGCTTGTTTTATCTCAAATCATAGAGAGTACATGAAAGATAGTATTTCTATTAAATAAGACTCGTTGAATTATAACTCATGAACAATGTGATGATAGTATTTCTATTAAATAACTTTGCTCAGAAATAATAATCATCATCAACTTTATTGCCGCGGAAAACTCGCAATATACATTTCTCAGTCTTTATCAAATTCTCTGAAAAAAGGTCACTTTGATACAAAATTTATCAGAGATTTGAACTTTTAACTATAAGACTCATTGAATTATAATATTGTCATCATCAACGTTGGTCAGAAAATAACAATACCGTAATTAAAGTTTAATCAAATAGCTTTGTACTGTCATAGCAGAAGCTATCAGAATCTTATTTCACCCATAAGTGAAAAAACTTCTCTCAAAAAACTGTTCATCCAATTAAATTTTCCCGTTGGTTCCAATTTAATTGAAGGTTAATACTTTTTCTTTCTTTGTAAAAGAGTACTATTAATTATTTACGCAGCGGAAAAACATGAATAAAAAATTCATGAACTTTTTACTATTTACAGAAACTTTTCTTTGACTAAATAAAAATTCATGAACTTTATTATTTTCTTTATAAATTCATGAACATTTATTTTTCTGAAAATTTCCTGTTTTCATTTTCAGAAACTTTTTCTGTTTACTTTTATATTTTCTAAACAAAAAATTTCGTTGGAAAAAAAAGAATAGCAAAAAAAAAACTGTGTGACTTTTGCCCAAAAAACTGTCGTGCGCGCCTCTATGGGCCGAAACCGGCCCATCCGCGCTTCCGCCTAGCCTCCTAAGAAGCACAGCGCAGCGCCCGGCCTCCCGAGTGATGCGGCCCACGAGCCGCCCTTTCGGCCTAGCAGCCCAATTACTGCTCTAGGGTTTCCATCGCGGCCGTCGAACGCGATCGAACGGTCCAGCGCCTTTTTCTCCTGAACAAAACTGGTCGCTCGCTCCCGACCGAAAACCCTAAGCCGCATTTCTTTCTCTCCTCCTCGTCGCTCGCTCTGTCCCGCGGCCGATCTGACTAGTGTTCCCATCGCACCGCCGGTGAGCCCGCTACGGCGTCGGACGCCACCGCGCCGTGCCGCGGGGCTCTTTCTCTTCCCTTCCCCTCCTTTCCTCCCCGTTCTTCCACCGCCTCCTGCGATAGAGAAAGAGAGAGGTGCGCGGCGGCTTTCCCGATGCGGCGGGTTAGGGCTACGCCGGCCGCCGGCGACGGATATGTGCTTTGTTAGTCATGCTGTAAAAATGAACAACGATGGAGCTGTTCGGGGCGAGAAGCTATATACCACACATTTGGTGGCTATCATTTGGGAAGATAAATTATTTCCCAACTACTCCCTTGGTTCACAAAGATAAGATGTTTTGCATATTTCAATATGAACTATGTATGGACTGAAATGAGTGAGTAAGCATAGTATGTCTATATCAAGGTTTTGGTTACCAGTCAAAATTTCAAGATTTTCCATGGTTACCACGTATTTCCGTGCCCCTCGATAAATTCCCATACCGAGCAAAAAATATTAATTTTTAAATTTTTTTGAATTTAAACGCTCGATTTATAGTAACGTATGTAGGATCTAATTAGTGCCATGAGAGTTGGTTCTGACGTGTTGGTAGCAACTTAGTTTCTGTTTTAAGAGGTCTCTGGTTCGAATGTTCGTTCATTCACTTATCTGAATATAAAATTTAACTATAAAATTCATTCGAAATATTCTTGATATTTCTTCATAACCGTGGTAACCACGTTTACCAGCCCCCCTCGATAAAATTGCGTCATTCGGTTACCAAGACCTTGGTCTATATACATCAGATTCACGAAAGATAGAACATCTTATAGTTGCGAATGGAAGGAGTACATTGCTTGGACATTTTGTTGTCACGTCCCGATCGATTCGTCCACGTACGTAGTTATCCTTTTGTTTGCGTGGTATATACTACGTAGTTATCTCACGCGTGAGTTTTAATGTTGACAGCTCAGCGAATACCGAATCAGATATCATGGGATATCATAGCTTTTATTGTACGCGGCTCAGCTCCGCGATTCTTCACCCGCCGCTTGCTATATAAAGCCCCCCGACCCCGAGGCATACCCACCCGACCCCGATTCTTCACCCCACACACACTCATCTTCCTTCTTTTCTCTGAGCCCAGCCACCGAGCGGGCGAGCAATGGCGGCACCTAACCAGAGGGGTGGCAGCGGCCGGAAGAAGACCGTACTCCGCCGGATCGAGCAGGAGGATGCCCGGCACGTCTCCTACGCCAAGCGCCGAGCGGGGCTCTTCAACAAGGCCAGCGAGCTGGCTGTGCTCACGCGCGCCCAGGTAGCCGCCCTCGCCTTCTCTCCCGGCGGCAAGGCATTCACCTTCGGCCACCCCTCCGTCGACTCTGTCGTAGAACGCTTCCTGGCGGGGGAAGGTTTGGGTGCTTGCCCGAGGGCGCAGGGCGCTGCCAATGACCGTTTCCTGGCGGCGGAGGGTGCCGGGGCCGGGGCCGGCGCGGGGGAGGGCGCTACCGACGAAGACAACGTGAAGAGGCTGGCCCAGAAGCTCGCCGAGATGCGCGCGGAGCTGACGGAGGTGAAGAAGCAGAAGAAGCGCATCGACAAGGCCATGGCTAAGGAGCGCGCCGCGGGGGACCAGATTGCGGCGTGGGTCGACCCCAAGGTGCGCGACATGGGGGACGATGACATGGCCGCCTTCTTTGCCACGCTCCTCAAGGTAAAGACCGACGTCTCCCACCGCGCCAACCAGGTTCTATTGGACTTCAGCCGCAAGGTTGAAATCACCCGGTTGCCCCCGGCCCAGATCTTCGGTGGCAGCATCTTTGAGATCGGTAGCAGCAGCGGCAGCGCCCACGCCGGGATGGAGTTCCAGTTTCTGGTGCCTCCACCGCAGGGGCAGGGGTTCGAGGCCGGGATGGATATGCACCAGATGGTGATGGCGGCGCTGCCTCCGCCTCAGGGGTTCCCCTCCGCGATAGATATGCAAGTGCAACAGCAGATGGTGATGGAGATGCCTCCGGCTCAGGTGCTCGCCGCCGGGAGCATGGATATGCAACAGCAGATAGTGATGGAGATGCCTCCGGCTCAGGTGATCGCCGCTGGGGTGGATATGCAGGAGATGCCTCCAGCTCAGGTGGTTGCCGCCGGGATGGATATGCAGGAGATGCCTCCGCCGCCGGGGTTCGCTGCCGGGATTGATATTATGGAGCAGATGCAAATGATGATTGGTCAGCCGCCGTCGTTCGAGGCTGGGATGGAGACAGAGTTTCAGCAATGTCTTATGGCAATGCCGCCACCGGAGTTCCCTGCCGGGTTGGAGATGGCGCAGCAGGTGCTTGAGCCCAACGCCGAAGAAGAGGAGATCTAAACCCGTGTCCATCGGTTCCAGTAAAATCATTGATGCATGGACGATAATTCCTCAATTTGTTTGTCTTCTAGTAGCAATTTTTTGAACTTTTTTTTTTTGAGAATCTTCGTCTAGTTTCATCTTATGTCAAGCAAATTTCATGTCGTTTCTTATTATCAATTATTAATGGCTAGATCTGAATTGTACTGTCGCTGGCTGCAGGCATTTAATGAAATACAAATATGTTATAGCTGGCATCATTATACAAAGATCTACATGCAAAATCTTTGGTGTTTGTTTTTTTCCTTTTGTGGAACAGAATCTTAATTACATTTAGATCGTTCTTATTCACAGACAATCGTCCCTAACAATACAAACGTTGGCTCAACGTGACACCCAACATCCTATATGAATATATATCTATTTGTTACATATATACACTATAAGCACAATACAAGATAACAAGAGAAACTTCTAGTACAAAATTGCACATTAATTACTACCTCTGTAAACTACAGAGAGAGTAGAAAATACAGGCCCTTAATCTTGATACCCTTTTTAAAATTTAAAAAACGTTTCCGTTCAATGTATATGCAACTTAAACATCTAGTGGGTCTCAGTGACAAACAGACTCTAACCAATACTACATCTTATCATAACTTAAACATCTGGTGGGTTTCAAGCTCAATACATGACAAACACGTATGACTCTAACTTTATAAATCGCGTCTCAAGGGAATAAAAAATCCCCGCAGACAAAGGGTATATATAGAAATCATCGGACGCTGCCCCTTGCCCTAGGACGAGACTTGCCTGCTCCCCGCGTGTGTGCCCATCCGTGCTCCCGCATACGTGGCTTGATTTGATTAAAACAAAATAAGTCCCGGCCCCACCCCCTTAAAATCAGGGGGGAGATGATTAGATTAGAAAGCAAAAAAGAAAAAAAGACAGCCGTAGGATGAGGTGGGAGGATGGATGGGAGCATGGGGAGGGAGTAGGCAAGCCAGATCCCTTGCCCCATGCAAATTTGTGACCTACATCCACGAGCCCTATCTGGTCGGTTCGTAGGAACCGTCTTCTCACACAGCCGCCGTCCTCCTCCCTTTGATGGACCCCACACTAGCGACGGACACATGAATTATCGATCTGAACCCATATGTACGTACATATAATGTAACTATTTCTTTTATGTATGCACATGAATCTCGATCTCTCCGGTTTTCTCCTCTCCAATCTTGAGGGAGAGAGAGCCATAATTTCACCATTGTGGGCGGGATCTACGTAGTGCTACCACGTCTCTGAATCATCAAGAACCAATGTCACCATTGTGAAGCTTCATTGAATCAATGGAAGAACCAACAAGCCAAAAACAATATGTGCACCATGAGGTGAGATTGACAGAGCGCTAGCTCCAGGTGCTATCACATAACACGTCACAGATTGGCAAATCCATACTGGAGTACCAGTTGAGGTGCATTCCGAGCTGTATGAGTACCTGCGGCAGGACGTCTTCCAATCAAACTCGGCTGAGGCAATTATTATCCACCCCTGAAATGTCCCAATGAGGCGATGACCCGTCGACGGTCTGGCAAGCGGGCATATGTCGTCATTAACGCCTACAACATGTTTAGACAAGAAAGTCAGGGCTAAAGATTCCATGGTATGGACCTGTTCTGAGCTGCAGCATCGACCAGAGTACGTTCTTGTGCAGGAATTGGCTAATATGTGCTAAGTATTGATGTGGTGGCATGTACTTCAATCAGGCCTAGGTCCAAAAGGCAGTTCATGCGAACACAATCAGACCACGTCCCAAGCAGGCTGTATGGCTACAATGTAATACAATCTGCTACTGTGAACAATTTGTTACAGTCAACCTAGAAAATTGTTACCATGCCCCAGGCCTAGGCCCTGGCTGCCTGGGGCCTGGATCCGCCTCTGCACATAGTCAAAACGTCTGTGAACTTATGCAGCTACATAGATGGGCGATATGCATGCTTACTATCACTCATGAACCAAGATGTTGGACCAGATCATCTAGAACATCAGATACCATCACAAAAGCATATAATTTGACTAATTTTTTGTTGTGATTTTTTATTAGACTGATTTGATGTCATAACAAATAGCCCCTCCATTAGTGAATTGATGATGTTCTGGACACTGATGTGACCACAAATATACATCTATCTGATCATTACTTTTGATATCAATGTGTTAACATGTATTTACGGATGGACGTTATAGGATCAAAATATCGCATAATACACCTCTTAGCAAGATGTACATGACAATCTTGATGCCCCTACATGTTTGGGCGTACGTACGGGATCTGCCATCAATTTCCCTATATATTTTTTTCATTTTTCAGATTTTATTTATACCTATTTATTTTTCTCTACTTTTTCCTAAAATAAAGTAGAGACAACCTTTCTGTTGTTTTCCTTACTTTCCAATATTCTATTTTTCTAAACCAATATGGTACCAACACTATAAATGCAGTAACTCGATGAAGGAGATATGGATAATCACGGTCAATGGTTTAAGACATTGCATGTAAACATCTCAACTAATGAACCTATTAAGGCTAATAAAATTGGATCGAATAAGACAGTAAGTTTTACATGCTCCCTCCGTTCCATAATGTAGTGCATATAGATTTTTAGAAAAGTAAAACCTCACAAACTTTGACCAAGTTGGTGGAGAAAACCATTTACATCTAGAATGCCAAACATATATCATTAGATGTAGTTTCATATTTTTATATTTTTGGTATTGTAGATATAAACAGTTTTATCTATAAAGTTTGTCAAAGTTTTCAAACTTTAACTTTTCAAAAAATCTATACGCAATACATTACAGACTCGAGGAAATATTATTTTTATGATGGTTTTGTCTATTTTTATTTGATTAATTTCACATATTCAAAATAATATTAAAGATCTTAGCTTTTGTGGTGGCACTAATTTTTTTTGTCCAAGCAAGGACAAAAACCATCAAGGCTGTGTTTAGCATTTGCGATAATTCCCACAAAGCATTGAACATTTCTTCTGGCATGAAAGGATTTGTTAAGTGTCAAAGCTATGGTACGCGTCCTATTAATGATCCATTAAAGGAAAAAAGATATATTTTGTTGTGGGAGTAGTTCATGGGAGAGAGGAGTAGTAGTTAGTTAGAATTTGGCTTTTAGGTTGATGAAGAAATAATTTTGTGCCATTTTTAATGACAAGGGAAATTTTACTATAAAAATTAGTGTTGGGATGCTTAGGCATGTGATTTTAGAAGAAGAGGTTATTACGAGGCTAGGATGGAATGGATCTTGAGAGGGAGAAGTCGTGGATCATAAGTGTTGTTGTGGACAAGTGAGAAGAAGAGACAGAAACAAGAATACCGCCAATTGAACTAGAAGTATTTTTGGTCTCACCAAAATCATTTTTCAGGATGGAAGATCTGGATGAGGCGAACTTTGAATTAGCAAAGCCATGAACTGTCCATGGATACATCCAACAAGAAGATTACCATCAAACTAACGGAGAAAGAAAAACTAATGGTTGAACGATACAATGATGTTGAAAGCATAGCTTACAACACAACCAACTTGATAAGCACTCAAGCTAATGAAAAATAAAGAACCGCTTGAAGGTTGAGTCCCCCTTTGTGCTTGAACATTGCAACAGAAGACAAATGCAACCAAATGTGCAACCAACTTCCTTGAAAATAGTCTCATTGATGCCTGCCCTTAGAAGCAAGAAATTAGTTTTTTCTATTCAAGGCCAGGTATGCTCGGAAGGAGTCACCTAACGTCGATGCACATAGGAGGAGTCATGGAGATGGTCTCCAAGGATTTTTTTTCCCTGTCATTTCATGGTCTTCTTTTCTGTGTCTCGGACATTGCAAAACAATTCCTTCAACACATTCAACTTCATTTTCAAGAAGATGTTTCTAAATAAATAACATCTGGCTTCAATGATTGTTTCACCGTTCATGTGAAAAAAATGTTCATGTGTATCAATACATTTTATGGTTAAACAATATGTTAAATTGTTTCACTCATGATTTCCTAATAATGAGGTTGGCATCATTTTTCTGGGAAAGTCGATACAACACAAAAAATGTATAGTGAAATACACCCATAGCGCCACCGCCTAAAAGCAACGCATCAATCACAACTCTCCTTTCTATTGCCCAGAAGCAAGTTATATAGGCTCTCATGATGCCCAAGTCATGTAACCGGAGTCCAGTATCATCATCTTGAGCTAGTCCAAAGCATGCTCCCATACATGTGATTTCTCATCTACCTTGCCAGAGACATAAATCCTGCCTTTTAACAACAACTGATATCCACATCGATTGATTGCTAAGAGGTCATCCATGACAACACGATGTGTTTGTAATATTTTCCTTGGAACTCTATCTACTACTCCGTCCAAGCAAAAATGCCCACCATGTGCCGATTCAAACCGAGACATAGGAAACTGGTACTCCTTGCGTGCCTTCACCAAACTAGTTGTTTGTTAAGGAGTCCAAACAAGGTGGAATACAATTCAACCCAACCAACATAAATTATTATCGTGATAAAGACCTAATCCAAACAGGAAGTAAAGTTGGACCCTTTATGGAGCTACGCATGTCATGCATGGTAAAAAAAATCCTTTCCTTTTATTTTCATTTGTATATGTTTTACAATAAATTATCCATTGATGTCGATTAAGGGGAAAAAAGACTACCAATGTTCTTATTGTCCTCTAATGTAGGGTGGCACTGAAAACGCGAGTGAGATTGATACACTATTTTCTGTACTACATGCAGAAACACAAGTTCCTTACAAGTCTCAGTTGCAAGAATATGCTTAGAAGAGACACAAAGATTTACATTCCTATGACACCATTCAGAGTGGTGCACCACATCCACAAATGTTCACGTCAACATTGACCATAGATGGGTGGCGACTTCAAAGTCCCCGAGACTATGGCACAAAAAAGGAGGCATAATTCGCTGCTGCGGCCGCAGCCTTAATGTCACTA